TGACTTAAAAACAAAACATTGGAACTTTTAAAATCATAACCAATAAGAAATTCCTTTTATCAGGATACATCACATATACAGTAGGACACTCGTTTAGATGAGTGTCTCAGCAACTTTCACTTTTGCTGTGGAAGGCTCTCTGCTTTGTATGGGACGTCAGTGACTCCATCCGGAGCCAGCACCCCATCCTGCCGGAGGGTGGGCCGGGGCGAACAGTGAGTTGTCACGCACTCACTGAGAATCTTCTGTAAGCAGCTGTGTGCATGTGGCACCGGGGGGCTCCTGCTCTGTTAGCAGAGGCAGGTTGGGACACAGTTTTCTTGAAAACCAATCAGTGCAGAAGCCAATGGAATGTACAGACTGTGGCCACAGGACAGGTGCCGTCTAGCAGAGTGTCAGGGACGGTCACCTCAGTGGGTTGTAGGATGTTTCTGAAGCAGTTCAGAGATCACCAGAAACTAAGTCCTAGAGAAGTGGCGTGCCTTAGGCCGCATGAAGAATCGGTCACAAAAACACGGCAGGGATGTAGGTCTCCCGAGTCCTGGTCAGTTCCCACCCACCGCAGAGCTGTGGCACTTGAGCTGCGCACGGGGCTCCGGGTGCGACAGAGGAAGCCTGGGGGAGGAAGCTGGGGGCGGCTACCCCGGCCCTTGAGCGGCTTGAGAAATGAGAATAGGCCTTTGAGAACCGCTGCTGAGAGCGATGGCAGGGTTTGTGCGGGGGCGCAGCGCAACGGGAGGCTGGAATCGGCGTGCAGCACTGTGCGTGCCGTTCTAAGTAAGGGCTGGTTTCCTGCAGCAGCAGACAGGGACGCGTTTGGTGCTGCCTCCATCTGGGGCAAGTTCCAGTGCTGGCTATGTCCCTTCCAGGTATAGTCATTACATATTGATAGACCGATTTTTTAAGGTCCAGCTATATCCCTCTAGGCACGCCTCAGATAGACGTGCTCCTTAAATGTTGGTGCTGGGCACGTCTCTCCTATAAATCTCCCCATCTGGTGTCTGGTTGTCGGTAGATCCAAACAGCAGAGAACCCAGAAGGAAGAGGCAGCGTGTCCCCGTCAGATGAAAATAATGGCCCAAGGCCCATCCAGACGAGAGGCTGGAGGCTGTTCTTTCCCAGAGACCAGACGCTTTACTCAGTTGTACCCATAGGAGCTGATTACCTGGGGTTTGTGTAGCTGGATTTGGAGAATTCCTATAGTTTTGTTCCAGGTTAAGGAGAACAGGAGGTCGACTCAGAGGCTAGCAAGTGGAAAGGAGGCGTCGACAGGGAGCCAGTCGGTGGGCCCAGAAGTAGACGCAGTAACGGTGAGGAAAAGTTTCAGTGAGAAAAGGAGGTGAACCCAGACGGCCCTGAAGGAGAGAAGAAAATCAGACCCGACGGACACGGCAGCTCGGGGCTGTTGGTGAGGGCGAAGCGTCCCTGGACGTGAGACGGAAGACGGCTGCCTCAGTGCACGCCCCATGGCGCTACTGTTCTCAGCCAGGACCCGGCCTCGCAGGAGCCGGCCAGGCTACAGCCTGCATTTGGAGGGCGGAGAAAACATGGACGGTACCTTGGAAACTATCCTGTGCACAGTTGTTAACCTATGAACCACCCAGGTAAAATTTCTACAGCCTAGCGAAGCTGCCCCCCAAGAACACCTTTTTCTAATTAAGTCAGAAACAGGCGTGCTTGTCGCTGTGCATGTGGTCCCTCCCGCTATGTAGTGTGTTCTACAGCCCCCGGCTCCGAGAAGCCAGTCCGCGTCAGGCTCAGCTAAAGGAAGCTTCTTACTGTCGGAAGCAGGTTTATGTTGCCCCACCCCCCAGCTCTCCCTCCCCCGGATCCTGGTGTGCTGGTTCACTAAACAGAGCTGTCGCGGTTGCATGTTACGTGTCTGCACCTGCCCCCGTGGGCACCTCCTGGGGACAATGAAGCGAGTGTGGTGCCTGACAACAACGCCACCGTTGTCAGCACGTAGCTGTGTGGCTTTAAACAGTCATCCCAAGGTTCCTTTATAGGGGATTGTAAATCGTTTCACGAGGTCTCTGTTAGTTCTCGAATTCTAGAAGCCAGTGCCGAGCGATGTGGGTCAGAAAGCAGACCTTCCTGGAGTGGACCGTGCAGTTAGCAGAACTAGAATGGGTCCGTGGGAAACACGAGGAAAATGGCCACGAAGGGCTAGGCAGAGCGTTCACGTTGTTGAAGCCACTGGAGCCCGGTGTAGCGAGGGGACCCATTGGAGCAGAGAGCCCACCTAACGCGGGGCTCCCTGGCCGCCGGTCCCTCCGTCCCGGCTGCAGAGCTCCTGCACTGGTGGCCTTCACGTGGGGAAAGCCTTGGGCCGATGAACAGAAAACAAAGCGTGGCCTGAGTGGCTGCCCTTCCGTGAAGGAGCGTCTGGGGAGAGTTTAAACAGTTTGCAGAGAGGACAGAAGGCAGAGCGCAGCAGAGCTCCCCAGGTGAGGATGACAGGCTTGGAGGGGGTGCCTGAGCCGGCGAGGTGAGGGCCCACCCGGGACTCGGCCGCCTGTCTTCCTGTGGTTGTGGGCAGTGCAGACGAAGCGCTGAGAGTCGCCGAGTCGCGTCGTCACGGGCAGGGGCGCCCCAGGCCAAAGGACAGAAGAGCATGGTGCCAGGGTTACGCCCTGGAAGCAGCTCGCAGCACAGGCCTGCCCGCCCGGGGCCGCCGCCTGCGTCCCAGTGTGTGGCGTGGGCCCTCCGGTTGCGGGACTCAGGGTCCGCTGAGAAAGCTTCCATTCGACCAGAGACCTTGGGTGGCTTATTATCCCTCTGGTTTGGACTCAGATCTTTTCTGTGTTGAGTCAAAACCAAGGAAATGTTCAGTGAGATCTTCCTCCAGCCCCGTCTGTCTTTGTTGTGACAAGCCTGCGAGGACGGCGGCCGTCGGTGAGCGCAGCCCCACGGGCTAAGCCCGGGGGCGGGCTGCCCTGGGCTTGGCCGAGCTTCTCTGCCAGGTGTGGGCTTGGCTGCTCGCGAGGTCCAGGATACAGGGCTCTGGGGCATGAGTTCTTTTCTCCGTCAGACCATGCGTGCTTGTGAGAGTTCAGCTTCCCTTTTCCAGTACCTCTTCCATTTGCCTTTTACTGTCCATCTGTTTTTAAAGAGCAATAATCAAATTGTCCGATACATGAACCTCGCGCCTGGTATTCCTTCTGCTTTTATCGCATGCGCGGTGCGCCTGAGCGGTCGAGCCGGGTTTTTCCATTTTGCACGTCGGGGCTCCCGCGTCCTCCCGCGCTGCGAGTTCCCGAACGCCCCGGGGAAGCGCCGCCGCCGGCCCGCACTCCTGCCCTGCGCGGCGCAGCTCGGCGCCTGGCCGAGGACCGGGAGAGCCCGGCGCAGTCCTCCGGGCGCCTTCCCGGCGGCTCTCCCTGCCCGTCCCTGGCCCCGCCGACCCCGCCACCTCGGCACCCGGAGCGGCGGTCCTTCTTTCTCTACCCGGCGTTTGGGTTTAAGTTCTCTATGCTGCAGTGCGGAAAATGCCACCCAGCAGAAAACTGGCCATGCATTCTTCTCTCCTCTTCAGGACCCCAGCCCTGTTATCCCACGTCTCAAACAGATCGACCGTGCGAAGTGGTTTGTTTTGTAGTTTACGGGGCAAGTACGATATCCATTCTCCCATTACGGCTGGAAGCGGAAGTTCTTGAATTGATTTTTATTGTGGTGACTTCTGGATTATTTTTTCTTCGGTGGATTAATATTTCTAGATGTTTGGTGATACATTTCCAGAAAGGCCACGTGGAATGCATTAAGCTTCTGGGTCCTGGCTCATTTTTATGCAGTTCTGTAAATACAGAATCAGCGGTAAACTTCATGACGTTCCTATTTTGAGCCCCGCGCTATAAGGGAAGCCGGGGAGCGGCACCCCGGCGTAACCTAAGAGCAGCATAAAGGCTTTTTTTATAACTTGAAAGAGCCCCCTCCCCCCTGTCCATTTCGGAAAAGAAGGCCAGCGACCACGACCGGAGGGGTGGCGGGCGAGCAGCGCAGGAGGTGGCCTCGGCAGATAACCTCACCGCCCACCCCCTGCTAACCCTGCGCGTCTGAACTCCTCGCAGAGGTCACCTGACAGGGCCCTGGGAGCGGTGCTGGGAGACAGCTTCATTCTCCTCTTAGAAGCGAGAAGCCGGGGGCTTGCGGAGGTTACGTCGAGCAGGAGCCCTGCCTCCTGCCTGGGTCTGCTCAGGTCTCAGAGTGAAGCACTTCCGTGTTTACTCTTGTCTGCAGGCCCTGAGAGCGGCAGGAATCAAGGCGGGTCTTCAAGAGCAGATCGGATTTGTACTAGTGAAAAGGCAAAGGGAAATGAAATGACCTCCAGGAAATGGGGAGCCACCCTAGTGAGAGCGGGTGTTTCCAGAGCAGGTTGAAAGTTCTTTGAGTTAGAGAATAGTGAGGTAGCTCTGCGTGTAGACAGTGCTTAAGAAAGGTGCCCCTGGCAGCCAGAGAGGGTGGCCTGGCGGAGGGCGGGGTGAAGGCGGGGGCCCCATGGAGCCGTGCTGAGAGCAATCCCAAGGCGACTGGTTTAGAGGAGGGTCGGTGAGGACAGGGGCAAAGGTGGAGAGAAGGAATAAGAAAGATCGTTCAAGTGAAAAATCGATCAGAACTTGATTACAAAGTAAACTGAGAATCACAGAAGGGAACGAGTCAAAGACCCCCCCCCCCCCCCCGCCATGCCATTGGCCTTGAAAGCGAGCGAGGGTAAGAGATGACTGGTAGGGACGGCAGAAAGACGAGGCAGGGAAGGGCAGTGAGGCGCCGCCGGCCCTGTGGTTCCTGCGTCGCTGTCCCGACAGAGCATCGTGGGCACTTACCAGGACAGGCCGGGACCTCAGCGCAGGCGCAATGGAGAAGTTTAAAATACCACCGATGTCCCTGTACTGGACACCCTTTGTGCTGCGACCCCGGTCTCCTCCCATCAGACGAGGCGTCATTGTTCATTGGCCCCTCTGCACTCATCGAAGGCCGTATCAGACGCTGTTTCTCCTTCACAGAAAGGGATTCTGGAACAGCAGCAGCGGGAACGGGATGATAACAGTTTCCGTGGCGTCTGCATGTTTTGCAGTGAGGAATTCTTCGGGAACAGGTTTGCCACTGCGCGCGTCTTTGCACGGGACTGCTTTCCACGGGAAAACTCGCCCAAACACCTGCCCTGCTCGTGTGGTTAAGTGCCGGGGCTCACTCGGGACCCTTTCGCGTGCCCGCAGCCATTGCTGTGATATGCCTGACATCAAAGATGGGCTGTCATTGCTCTGAGCAGAGCAGGGAAATACATTTTTTAAATGCCAAAAATAGATTTCTGTTTAATGTTGTAAAGCTTTTTCAATTGGCTGACAGGCAAGACTGTGTCAACAAACTACTACAGACGCACTGTCCTGTATTAACTCGTTAACTAAACTGTCAGCAGTTTTGGTGCTTTGTTTAAAAAAAAAAACAATAACAAACAAACACTAAATTTCTGTGATCCTAGGTCGAAGCAGGTTATGTTTGTCTTGGGCAACCTTCTCTTCCCCTTGCCCATGATGAATCGGAAAAGTGACAAAGCACAGTTCATGTAATAGTTTAAAGGACAGAAACCCAGTTCACATGTGGAGTGTGACCCTGCTGGTGACAGACAGTGGCCCGAACGTGGAACCCCTTTAAAGAGGTGTCATTCTGCGTGGCTCACAGACTGGACGCATCCACATGGCCCCCACGTGTGTTTCCATGTGGAAACTGGCTGGGCCCTCATTAGTGTCATGTGTCATTACCTCGTGCTGTTGCCGACCTCTTTGTTCCTGGACAGTTTATACATAATGCACATTGTTCCGCTTTCTTCGTAGATCTGTCCTTTTGAACCACATGTCCAGGGAACATGCCTTCAACATTGGACTGCCCGACAACATTGTGAACTGCAGCGAATTTCTGCACACATTACAGAAAAAGCTTGACAAGTAAGTCCTCCACGGAACATAGCCTGGAGCTGTGAACCCTGGACTCCCATGAATTGTTACAAGTTAATAGTCAGAAGTAACTAAAGAAATGGCCTTTTTTCATTTTTCATGTTGGGAGACTCAGCAATTCGTATGACAGTCCTCATTTTGTGCAGGTCATGTTGCCTTTACTGTCTTGTGAATAAAAAGGTCACATATCAACAATGTACACGCCATATAAGGTGTGTTAAATAAGGCGTGGAGACGACGCTCACTGTGCAGCCTGGGGAGGGGAGCCCCAGTCATGGCTTTGTCCCCCGCGTGCCCCTCCCCGTAGTCCCCGGAAACCTCTGTTCTGAATTTTGGATTCATAATCTCTTTGCTTTTCACCATAGTTACTTTACACGTTTAGTAAAGTAAATATACTGTCAAATTGGGGCGCTTTGCTCAACTCGATGTGGGGAAGAGGACGCCGTGCGCACCCCGCTGCCCGCCGGCACTTCTCCGCGCTGGCGCCGTGACGCCCCGCCTGCCCAGGGCCACGCTCCGGGGCCCTGGGCTGCAGAGCCCAGCAGGCAGGAATGAGCAGGGACGTTCTCGAGGTGACCAAAATGCCTCTCCAAAATCTAGCCACTTTCCTTTCTAGGAATGAGTCTGAGATTTTTTTCTCAAAACCTAGATCGCTGTATTTAAATAAAATACTAAAGGGTGTGGTGTCTCAGCCTACAGCATGTAGACAGTAACGTTAAAAAGATGTATCCAGTGATAGAGATCAATTTTTAAAAGTTCTAAATTCATATTCTGGTATCAACACCATATTAAGACAAATCCCTTCACTCTTTTATGGGAGGACCCTTCATTTGTAAAATAATACCAGAATCTCTCTCATCATCAGCTTGTCACTCATAAATTGGTTACTGTAAAAGACCATAGTTATTTCAATAGCATAAGAGATTTTTGAAAGGGTATGTAGTAGAGATGAAAAAAAATTCAAAATGGAAACATCTGATTTCAATCATTTGCAAGTGAGTGTTCATGTGGAAGGAGGATGAGACTGAGTCTGTGTGACTCCACAACGTGCAGTTCCAGCGACTCTTGGGGGGAAGTTACAGGATGTCAGCTGTCACACTTAACATGAGAAGAACATTTCCTTGGTAACTAGAGGGAAACTGGTCATCACTGACTGGTCAGATGATGAACTCCCCATCAGTGGAAGTATTCAAGCAGAAGATACAGGGGAATGACAGAATAATAACTACCATTTACCAAGCACTTACTATGTGCCAAGTATTTTATATATAATATATTTAAGTGATGCACATAAGCACATACTTTTGTTCAGGTGTGTATAAGTTATATAAGCCTAAGTATGTATAAGTTGTAAAAATTTTCTAAGATTAGGTATTGTCTTCAGCTTAGAGGCCAGACAACGAATGCCAACAGAGAGGAGTACGCCGGCCGAGTCACCCAGCTCGTAGGTGCCGAGCTGGGAGCCAAGCCCTGCGCGTCGGCTTGCAGGAGCCACGGGGCCTAGGACACCTCATCACCCTTGGCAGGTGCAGCCAGTGCCCATTACCATTGTGAATGCGTGAAAACGTGCCTGCGTTCACGTTTCTAGGATAGGCAGTTTGGTCAGTAAACTGTCAAAATAACGTTAGGTGCCCCCGTCACAGCTTTAACTGAACAGCCGACTCAGGCGAACTTGGAAGCGAAGGTGCACCCCACAAAGCCGAGGAGGCGCGGTGGGCGGGGCTCTGACGAGGCTCCCGCATCCCGTCTGAAGGTCCCGTGCGACCCAAAACGGGCACCGTGACTCGACAGAGGCCGGGTGCAGCCGCGCGCCTCGGCCAGGGGGGCCTGCCTGACCCGGTCCTGTCCCACCGCAGCTTGCAGTGCCTGTACTGCGAGAAGACCTTCCGGGACGAGAACACCCTGAAAGGCCACATGAGGAAAAGGCAGCACCGCAGGGTCAATCCAAAGAACCGCGAGTACGACCGGTTCTACGTCATCAACTACTTGGTAAGTCTTTCTCCTCCTCGGGGCGCTCTGATGCGTTTCCACAGACAAAGCTCGGCCTGGGGGCCACCTCCGTGCCCGCCAGCCCCGGGCACCAAGGTCCGGGTGTAGGTGGGGGCGCCTCTGGCAACGGCTGGCTTCAACACGTTCATTTACAGACACGACTTGACTGGGTTTGTCTTGACTCGCCAGTTGTTCATAGAGTAAAAATGGCTCGAGAACGCACAGTGATCTCGACCAAAAAAACAAATTTGCAAAGCTTTTGGACACCCACACACCCTGTTACCTTGAGGCCAGAGACGTCCATGGTCTAGTCAAAAAGTACGTGTTGACCTTTGGCTGTGTGAGGTGCTATGCTAGGTAATTCTTTTTAAAAAATAACAACAAAAATCTCTTCACCCTCCCCGTCTTTTCCCATTAAAATACCCTCCCCTTCCCCATCCACCCTCCTAAATTTTATTTGTATTATTCTCTTGTGCCAGTTTATTTTTAATGGAAATTTTAGAGAAACCAAGCCAGGTAGGTCGTTTCCCTGGGCAAGAGGACTTGTGTGTGTTTGGTCGTCGGATGGACTAACAGGGTCACCAGGCTAAGGATTTTTAATATGCTGAACATTCTCCCTGCTCAGAAGCCTCTGCCCCACGGACCGGCCCCGTGGGCAGCAGTCCTTCCGGTTAGGAAAGGGCAGCTGGAGGCGCAGGTTGTGGGGGACGTTGGCTGTGGGGGGCGTTTGGAAATCCACAAGCGGGTTTGTGTTGGACACAGGGCCTGCCGCCCCTGCCCCAATCTTTCTGATCTTTTGGTTTTCTGTTGGGGGTGGGGGGGTTGTTGTATAACAAATTAGGAAAACGACTACTTGTGTAGAAAGAGGGGTTGAGGAGCTCTGCAGCGGGATTGGAGGGAGACGGGGCGCTCTCTTTCCGACACTTTTCTTAGCAGATGGGAGCTGTTTTTCCTCTCGCTGTAAATGAACTGGAATCCAAACGCACTGGCCACAGAAGGCATAGCTGATTATAATCAGCCATTTTACCTGCTGGACAGAAGCGAGCATGCCCTGAATTACGCAGGAAAGCTCTGCTCCAGGGTGCAATTTCTGTCTGTGCTAGCAGCTAGTCCTTACAGGGATGAAATAAATCTGCCCTTGGAGCAAGATGAGCCTGTGTTTGAAGACAGACCCTGAGAGGAAGCCGCGGAGGCTGCGGGTTTTCTACGACTCGCTGAAGGCAAGGCTCCCTGGAGCCCCTCTGCCACCCCTGCAGTTCCCTCGGTCGCTCCTTCCTGGAGCAGGCGCTGCCGGCCCTGGGAAGGCTTCGCGGCCGCAGAAACCTCCGGCAGCCTCTCGGGCGCCTGCTCCGGGCGCCTCTGGACTGGCGCTCGGGAGTGCGGGGTGAGCGGGAGGTCGTGAGGCTGCAGGGTCTCTTTCCGAGGAGACCTCAGGGGGCCGGCTCACTCAGACTCTGCCGCAGCTTCTAGAAAAGTCGGAGGCCAACTGAACCCACGCAGGTGTGCGTGGCCGGCCCGCCCTGGAGGCGCCCTTAGGAGAGCGGGGCCTTGAGTGACCGCAGAAAATGGAAATTAAATCACATTAGGGGAATGGGGATGGAAGTTGGGTTGGTTTGTTGGTTTGTTTGTTTGTTTGTTTTAAGCTGGCAGCATTTGAGTACTTGGTCCATGTGAGGCTCTGTCAAGTACTTGTACTGTCATTTAGCCTTAACCACCGTCCTGGGACACAGGTGTTGTCACCGTTCCTGTTTCATAGGCCAGAAGACGAGGGCACAGGGCCATAGGGCGATTTTCCCGAGGCTACGCAGCCAGAGCTCGTTCCTCATTCAACCCCCTGCGCCCCCACGTCCACCTGGTGTCCTCACTTTCTGCAAGTGAGGTAGCACTAGAGCCCCCCTCGGCCTGGAGGGTGGGCTTTTGGTCACGTGACGGTGATGAGACCCCAGCGGCCTGTCGGCCCGCCCTTGCCCACCCTCCTCTGTCACGAGCTGGACGGCGAGCGCAGGTCCATGCGAGGCTGCCAGTCACCAGCTCCGGAAGATTCCCAGCCCACAGCGCCCCGGCCCACAGCGCGGCCTCTCAGCCCCGGCTGCTTTCTGCCAAAGCATTCGCCACCAGAAAGAGTGATTTTTCTAAAAACCTGCCATGTGTTCGCGATGCTTGAGCATTTTTGAAGTGATGTGAACTTCCCCTTGAAAAGGATTGAAGAAGCTAATAAAGTCTCCACAGGGCCTAAGTGTCCTTAATGAGGGGAGCGCATGGAGGGACCAGCCTTAGTAGCAGCCCAGGATACCGCTGTGGGCCACAGGATGGTGATACGTGGGGTGAGCACGTAGAGGGCCATTCCAAACGCTGAAGGTGCGGAGTCAGAGAAAACGAGGGCCCCGGGCTGCTCAACGCCATTGCAGTCTCGTCATACACCCCATTAATGACAGTCTCCAATAGGAAGAATAAAAGTTCTTCAAAGTTGTCTTAAGCGATGAGTAACGACACCCTATTTTTAAAAAGAGAGAAGGCTGGCACGCAGGCTTGGCCGTGGGCAGCAGACAGGAGAACCGCGGCCTGCCTCAGCTGTCCGCGTCTGTGCCTCCATTTCCCCAGGCCCCTGCTCTGCAGAAGCGTTTTGCAGACACTTGAGTGCCTTCCAGGTACCAGGCGCTGGTGGAACAATGAGGAAGACGTTGCTGGCCAGGCGGCAGATCTGAGTGACAGCTCCCGGAGCGTGTGGGCAGGCTGGGAGGCGGGCACGTGAGCACACCCGTCTGCGCACCTGGTGGCGGGGGGCGGGGCCGGTGCCTGGGCCTCCTGGAGCGGCAGGTGCGCGCCCCCCTGCCCCCCGCCTCTGCTTCAGGCAGGGTCTTCAGCCCAGCAGTGGCGGGAGTGCCCGAGGCTCCTGGCTAGAGGCACTCTGGTGGTCCCGACACAGACAGGGAGACAGGCCACATAGGGGCAAGGGACAGAGTGCTTGGGGCTCTCCTCTGAGCTCAGCAGATTGACCAGTTCCTTTTCCTTCTTAGGGGGACCGCGTTTCATCAGGCACATCCGTCTTGAATACTCACAGGCTTGCAGCCCCACTCAAGGCCCTCTGCGTGGTCTCTCAGGCGTGTCCAAGCTTCTGGCATCTCTGGGCCATGCTGGAAGAAGGGTTGTCTTGGGCCATTGTGATCTTGTGATTATGTGACATTGCGACACGTAATCACACACACACACGAAAATCTCATGATGTTTTAAGTAGACTTGCGATTTTGCGCTCGGCCACCTCCACAGCCACCCCGGGCCGCTGCAGGCCGCAGGGGGCACACCCTGCTAGATCATGTCCTTCAAGCAGCAGCTTCGTCGTCTCACAGAAGGGAGGTTTGGGTGGCAGTGGCCAGAGCAACGGGGACAGGGTGCCCAGCAGCATCACGGTCGCACGCCCGGACTCCCCCGCCTCGGAGAGCGCCCGAGACCACCCGGCCTCGTCATCACGGCCCTAGCCGCGGGTTCCCACGGCACGCGTGGTGCACGCCCTAGGCTTGCAGAAGGGAGCTGTCTTTGTAGTGATTTTGTCATTCTTTGATTTAATTTTTTATTCTTAAAGTATACATAGCCATGAATAACAAGCAGGCCCTTCACCTTTTCTTCCTCATTTAGTTATAGTTCTCTCGAGTGAAAAGATTTCCATTTCAAACACTCTCTCTGAGGAGTTTTTTAATCAGTGCGTGTGTTCGGCAGCAGAGGGGGACGGGGGGAGAGGATCCTGTTTTTCCGTGGTTTTTCCACCCTCTCGCTGATCACAACCATCTGATGCAGGGGCTGGAGGGGGCGTTCAGAACATCTTCGCTGACATGCCTTCCAGACTCTGTTTTTCTTGTAGTCTCTGCTTTCCTGACATGACTCATTAGCAGACACAGTGTCTTAATTAGAGAGTCATGTGCTTTGCTTTTCTTCTCCCTGGGACCTGTTCCTGTAATAAATCGTATGTTTAACTGCAGCAAAGCCGGGCGCTCGAGGAAAGCCTGGGCCACCGTCACATGCAAACCCTTGTTTCCAAATATCCTGAGAACACAGAGTCCCACTCTTCTCTCACGTGGTGCATGACTGGAGCCACACTGCCTGTGTGAGTCCCTGCACGTGGTGCCGAACACCGAGAAAGTTGCAAAATAAAGCTTTCAGTTTGGAGCTGGGACAGTGGTATTTTTCGTCGCTCTTGGCTAAAAACATTTTTTCATAAGTGACATTGCCCGTAACCTTGAGGATGGAAACCCACCGATGGCCCATCCTTGATCTTACTGTCCAGGTCCAGAGAGACCAAGTCCTACGTGAAAGATCTAATTCATCATCGAAAATTTCAACTAATGAGGACCCTGCCGGCCGTGTGGAGGCCGTTCTCGGTGTCCATAACGAGGTGCAGGCGTGTCGTGACTCTGGGGAGTGCGTAACAGAGTCTGCGTGAACTGTCCCTAATGGCATTGTGATAAATCTCTGCATGTCTGAGTTTATGCAACATTCAGCTGGTAGACAGTGACAGCCTCCAAACCTCTGATTAAGCTGATGAATGATAGATTTTCCGTTTTCCTCTAAATCAAAATGGCACTTACAGTTCTTTGGTTTTAGTTAAATGAATACCTTTGAGAAAAAAATGTTCACAGCTGCAAGTGAATTTTGCTTGTGTGTTTTCAGAACAGTGATAAGGAACAGGACGCGTGTCTTTGTAGCAGGATGCGCTGGGCTTGGCAACCATGGCCACAGCTGAGCTGCTCGGAAGCGCTCCCTTCGCACCCGCCGTTGATTCGCCTCTGGCGCACGGTGCGCCCCTGCGGGCGCGGTGGGGAGGCCACGGGAGAGGGACAGGCTCATCCGGTCGCCTCACAGAAACCTTTAGAGGTGGGGTTTGAATCGGCCTTCGATGTTTAGGCTTTTTTGTTACGATTCAATTTTTAAAAATACCCTCTAAAGCCCACTGCGTGCTGGGCTCTGGAACGTGACAGTGAGCAGAGGCCAGGTCCTCAGGGACCCTCAAGGGGAGGGGACAGGTGGTAGCGCGTGAGAAAGCGATGTCAGCGGTGGTCCGCGCTCTGAAGGAAAATGAGACATCACCGCGGGATGAAGAGCGCGGCTGCTTCAGACGCGTCATGCGGGCAAGGCTGGGGTGGTCGCGCCCCCGCGGGGCCAGCCTGGCCACACCGCGCGGGCACGGGAGCGAGCGTGTTCCCTGCGGGAGGAGCGGGCGGGCGTGAGCGTGCCGAGCTCGAGGGACCGCGGCAGGGCCCGTGGGGCTGGAGCACCCCGAGCAGAGGTGGCGGGACATGGGGAGGAGGCGAGGGTCCGGGATCTCGCCGTCCGCGTGGGAGGCGCCGCGGGAGGGTTCACACTAACAGGGAAGGGACATGTCCTGAAGAAAGGTCACTGTGGCTGCTGCCTGGGAAGTAGACTGCAGGGGACCCCGCGGGTCCAGCCGGGAGAATGTCTCAAAATCTCCATCGAGAAATATTGGTGGTTTTTTTAAAGATCCCGGGAGATTCTCATGGGCATCCAGGGTCCCAAGGTCCTGATTTACCCAAATTTAAGGGAAGAGATGCCCCCCGCCACTCCTCCAAACATTGAAAGCACGTGAGGCTGCCCACGTTCTTCCTTGGGTTCAGCGGTTTTAATATGCCTTCTGGTGTGTAGGGCTGCAGAGTGTGGGTTATGCGTGTGGAGTTCTGTGTCTTTCCCTCCCCGTCCCGTCCCCCACCCTCCCCATCTCTCTCATCCCTCTGTTTTTTCCACAAAGGAACTTGGAAAATCATGGGAAGAAGTTCAGTCGGAAGATGACCGGGAGTTGCTGGACCATCAGGAGGAGTAAGACTGGCCGACGCTGCTAGTAGATGGGTGTTTGAGGAACAGGGACCCAGTCCTTCCGGGCGGTGTGAATGGCACTCTGAGAAGCGGGGAGAAAGGCAGGAATGCCGGCGCATGAGCCACGCACCATTTCGCGTAACAGCAGGAGCCGCCGCCCCTGCTGCACAGTGCGTGGTGGGGCATGAAAGCTGTGGCTCAGACACGCAGGTCACATGTCACTGAGAGAAGAGCGCCTTCCAGGGTGCCTTCTGACCTGGTCAGTTCCAGAGACCCTGCAGTGACGCGATCTTTGACCTCTGCGTGCCGCCTGTCCCTGGGGCAGAGGTGACTGAGCAGAAGTTGCCCTTGTCCAGTGTTCACCCCAGGGACGATGACCTTGAAGCGTCCTTGGCTTCCTGGCGGGGCAGTGGGGGCTGGAGCAGGGTCCTCCTCCACCTGAAGGGGCTCCCTGTCACCTGTCCCCTTCTCTTCTGGGGCCGTTCCGCCGCTTTCCCTCCCGGGATTTTGGTTTTCCTGGTTTAGGAACAACAAGCAGTCATCACTCTCAAAAAATAAATGCAAGGAGAGGAAGAAATGAATAAGAAAATAATAAAAGGGAGTGTGGGGGGGACTTTATATGCTTTTTGAGTTCTCTTCCTGCCAGCCTACCCCCAGATGTAACACTCGCCCCGTTCAAAGTGACCCCCTTTCCCATGTGAGGCGCACGGTGTGCCTCTGTGAGACGCAACATGTGTCGTGGGGGAACACAGCACCTGCCCCAGCGGTGGGGGTCCTGACGGGACCCCTCCTGCCCCCGGCCTGTCACCTCTGCGTGTCCGACTGGGTCGGCTCAGAGAGACTCCGCTGGCTCCAGGGCTCAGGACCTGCTCCGACGGAGCAGGCGCAGGGCGACGGCCGCGCTGCCTCACTCCTGCGAGCGATTTGACCGCGCTTGTGCGACAGTCCTTACCAAAGCGTGGGCGTGGCGGGAGGCTGGCAGGGCGCCCTGGGGGGCTGCGAGCCACAGGAGGCGCCCCTCCCTAACCAAGGGACCCGCACATCTGCCGCTGTCTGCCCACCACAGGGACTGGTCTGACTGGGAGGAGCGCCCTGTCTCTGCCGTCTGCCTGTTTTGTGAAAAGCAAGCAGAAACCATCGAGAAACTGTGTGTCCACATGGAGGTGAGATGTTTTCTTTGTCTGAAGTCTGTCCAGTTCTGACGGGAAAGCGGATGTTACTGCAGCCACGTCCGATTGCCCCTCCCTCCAGTCCCTCGCGCGCTCAGGGCCGCGGGCTGGGCCTGGGTGAGCCGCGGACTGGGGTGGCGCAGGCCACTCTGCTGCCGCTGGCCTTGGAGACGCCCGAGATCCTTCCCGCTGGGACGGCGGGCCCTGCAGCCGGGGGACCGGCCGGTGCCGCGTCCGGAGGGCTCTGAGCCCGTCTGCAGCGCCTCTGCGCGCTGGCTCGGGGGACAGCAGGGAGGCCGCCCTCCACGCAGCCCTGGGTGGAGGGGGCGGGGGTGCAGGGTGTGGGCCTGGCTCCTTCAGGGACGGGGCCTTGGAGAGAAGACCCTGAGAGGCTCCCAGTGTGTGCGCCCCGCTGGGACGGAGCTGGAAGCGGCAGCTGCTGGGTCTGTGAGAAAGGACCGTGCCCTGCAGCCCCCAGGAAAGGCGAGGAGCCGGGAGCGGGGGTGGGGGGGCTGATAATAGCGGGACCCCCTGCCAGACAACTCTGACGCGCTCCCCCCACCTGTGCCACTGCGGGGCCACGCGGCTCTGTGACCCCGCGTCTGCTCCTCCCGAGCGGCAGGGACATGGGCGGCGTCCCTGTGGAAGCAGAGGCTCGGGCTCTCCGAGCCGGGCTGCCACCAGCACGTGTGTATAGTGTCCGGCGTGGACAGTTAACTCACAGTCTCCTAACGTCTCCGGATTGGAAGGAGCCATGGCGTCCCGCCCGGTGTGGGGGTCCCTCTGCAGCGACCTCGACGGCGCCCTCGCCCCCTGCCCAGTCGCGGCCGGCGAGGGCCGCCTGGCGTTCCTGGCGGCCCTGCAACGGCCTTCGGGGGTGCACGGTCTGCGCTCCGCGAGCTCCGGTGCCCCCGGGGGGCCGTCCCAGGGAGGGGGCGGCCTGACAAGCCTCTGCGGCGCTAAGCGTGTCTCAGCGGGACGCCTGGGAGGGCGCGAGAAGAGAAACCGGCCGCGCCGCGCACGCGCCGGCCTCGGGGCGAAGCCGAGCGAGGGGACCGGCCTCTGCCCGCGCCCAGACCCGACCCGGGCGGCGGGGACGCCTCGGGGGCTCCCCACGGGGGGCGGGGGGGCGCGGCCTGTTCGGACGCGGGGAAGCAGCCGCGCTGCGAGGGGTCAGAAGCGGGACGACGGGCGCAGACCGAGGTTCCGCCGCGTTCTCACCGCTGTGACTGAGCTGTTCGTCGCTCTGCTCACGGACCCACCCGCTGCTCCTTGCAGGACGCCCACGACTTCGATCTCCTCAAAATCAAGTCGGAACTTGGTAAGTCCCCCCATTCGGGCGCGGGGTCTCTCCCCGCCGCCCCGCCGGCCCCTGTGAACTCCATTTCAAAGGCGGGGTTTGGTTTCGTATGGTCTTTCCGACATACGTGAATACTTCAAATAAAATGCAAGTGCATGGCCAGAATCTGTCGGAAAGGCAGAGTCGGGTTCGTACGCCAGCTGCCCCCCTTCCCAGCACAGAGGTTTTGGGGGGACGAGACGTGGTCACAGGCGGAAGGCGATTAGAGCCCTGTCGGCCGGAAGCGCTGAGCCACCGCTGGCCGCTCGTGTGTGTGTGTGCGCGCGCGCGCGTGTGCGTCCGTGCGTGTGCGTGTCATTGCGCTTTGTCACCGACTGCCTGTCCGGCCGGCGGGTAAAGAGAAGCAGCTCTTGACACCAGTCACAACGGTCCGGAAGCGGGTCTGGCCGGTTTTCGGACGATTACACCCTTCCGTGTTTCAGGACTGAGTTTCTATCAGCAAGTGAAGCTGGTCAACTTCATCCGGAGGCAGATCCACCAGCGCCGCTGCTACGGCTGCCACGCGGAGTTCGCCACCAGCGCCGCCCTGCGGAGCCACCTGGGGGAGGCCAAGCACGCCGCCCTGCTCCCCGCCGCGGCCACGTGGGACCAGCCCGAGTGAGTGCCGCGCGCCCGCCTCCGCGCCGTGTGGCACTGACTCCATTCCGCTGTTCACATTCTGTACGCATCCCGCCGCCTCCGGTACGCACAGGCGGGATCGCCGTCAATGGGCGGCACGTCCCCCTGCGTCCCGCGCTACTTTCCGCTCGCAGGACTGGCGACAGCGAGTCGCCAGGTGCCGGCGTGTGTCTGCACACGCATGTACTGGCTCGCTCCGACAAGCTGCTAGAAATGACTGTGCGGCAGGACGGGGGCGGGGCCTCGGGCGCGTGTCTCCCACGCTGGCCCGCCCGGGGTTAAGCAGCTGCTCCGCGGGCGGGCCTGCCGGGTGCGGGCCGGCCCCCGGTCCCCGCGCCAGCCCGGCCTCCGGGGCCGCGTCCCACGTCGCTCGGGACAAGCTCGGTGAGGTGACCCCGGGGGCTGCTTGGAGGTCCCTCTGTTCTCGCGGAGTGTTAGGTCCGGTCCCCCCGAAACTCTGGCCACAGAGCTTCCGATTTTCCTCTTGAAAGCAGAAGGCCTGCGCTTTTCGCCAGACCCCAGGTTTGTGGGAGGCCGCGTCAGCCCTGACCCGACCGGCTCCCCGGCTCCTGTCGTCGTCACGGAGGCTGACGTGGGCGGGCGCCCAGAACAGGCCGCCACGAGTGTCCCACCAGGGAGCCGGAACGGCTCGCAGGAGTCTGCGGAGAGCTTCGTTCTTGCTCCTTGATCCCCGAGGAGGCGGGAACCCGTAGTGATTAGGCCGGGAGAGAAAACACGGGGAACAGTGGTTCTCGTCAGGCACGTGAAGGAAGGGGAAGCGCGTGAAAAAGGAAGCGCGTTTGAGCTTTGCGAGCCCGTGGGGAGAAGCGGGGCCTGTGGGCAGGACGGAGGGGCGTCTCCTTCCGCTTCCGGTGCGGAGGGGGCGGCTCGCCGGGGCTGCCCGAGCCGGGGGCAGGCTCCGCTTGGGACGGGGAGGTTCTCGTTGCGGCGGCTGACCGGCAGGGACACCAGCGAGACCGACGTCCCAGGAAGGGCCCCGCCGGAGTCGCCGGCAGCTGCCGCCCCACAGCCTCTGCGGAGCGCTGCTGGGCGGTCGGCCGGGAAGCCTGGGAAGAGCACCGGAGCGCGTGCCACAGCTGCCGGGGAAGGTTCCGGGCGCTTGGGAATCGGTGGCTCATTCTCTCCCCGCTTGTCTGCAGGTACTACTTTCCCACCTACGAAAACGACAGTCTGCTGTGCACGCTGTCTGACAGCGACAGTGACCCAGCAGCCCCGGAGCAGAAGGGGAAGGTGCCCGTCATCAGCGAGGACACGTCCCGGCTGCAGGCCCTGAGGCGGAGCAGTGTCCTGAACCGGCTGCTGCTCCCGGAGGCGGCGCCCGGCCCGAGGGGGCTGCCGCGGCGGGCGGGCCCCGCGCCTCCCTCCGGAGACGGCGGGAAGGGGGCGCGCAGGCGCGGACCGCAGCCAAGGAGCAGTCCTCGGCGAAGCAGGCGTTAACAAAATAAAAGTCTGTTGTTCAAAAAAGAAAGTGAGGACCTCTCGTGCTTTGGCTCCCAACTTTTATTATGGAACCATCATAACTGCTCTCGTTCCAGCGGAATCCATTGGCTGCGGCCGGGCCTGCAAATCACGAAGAAACGAAACGCTCCAACAGTTTCCAAACCAGACTTCCACCAGTGTGTTCGGCCTCTTCCCCGCCGGCCTTCCTCGCCTGGCGGGTCGCAGAGCTTGACAGACGCGTGCTTCGTGCCTCGCTGGGGAAGCCGGAGAGGCAGAGACGCGGCGAGCAGCCTGGCCGGAGATCCGGGCGGCGCGCGAGCGGGGCCTGGCGGCGGCCGCGCCACCGCCCTCCGCCCGGAGTCGCAGGCTCCCTCGAAACGGACGTGAAGCCACTACCTTCACTTTCCCCTAGTGTCTGCCCGCCCGTCTGTGTGTGTGTCTGTGTGTGTGTGTGTGTGCGCACGCGCGGCGTGTGTCACTGACAGGGAAGTACTGTGTTTTACAATGTAACCATATTCCATTATGACATCGAACAAAATTAACAGTTTTTTAATATCACATGTTTTCCATTTTCCCTACCCTCAGACATGCCTTTTTACAATATTATCAGTTAAGATACCATGAGGAAAGTGAAACATCACTTTTGAGGATTTCTCCCAAAAATGTGTGATGTGCCTACACTGAGGGAGCAGCAATCTAAGCCGAATCGAGGGGCAGTGTACAAAATAGTTGGTGTTTATTCTTCCAAAATGAAGGTCATGAGAAAGCAAAGACTGCACGACTTGTCCCAGACCAAGGAGGTGCCACAACGTGCAACCCTGGACTGCACCCTAGACCAGGAAAAAAATGTCTGTCTTTTGCTGTGGAAGGTATTCGAGGGACAGTTGGCGAAACTTGAGTAAGGTCTGTAGTAAATGTTAGGGTACTGGTGTTAATTTCCAAATTTTGGTCACGTATTTGCAGAAGTAACACCAATCCTCTCCCACCAAGGGCCTCAAATTGCAGCCACTGTTTGCTGAGTCTGCAGGGCGAGCCACCCGCGTTCCGGAAGTTTGATCGGACGCGGCAGCAGGATTAAACCGGAGCCGCCGCTGAGCTCTCCTGCCTTGTAACTGGTATTTTGAAAAGCTCAGGCACATTCAATCCCTGCTGATAACAATTTGCAAGATGGAATGACACTGTAAGAATATTAATTCAAACCGAAAACACTCCAGTAAGTTAACAGAGTATTAATTCAGTGTTCTAAGACTCAAAAGAAATTGTCCTTTTGGGCTTGTAAAATTAAACTACAAAAAAAAGAAAAGCAACAAATTTTTGAAGATAGTATCAGCCAGTTGACTTGGATACAGGGTGAGCTGTAAATAAAAATCTAATAACATCGCCCATTGTGATTTTGGAAAATATTAGAAGATCAAAAGGATATGCTGTGGTAAATTGTAAAACTTAAAAAAAAAAAATTGAAGGCCGAGGAGAAAGTGAAAGAAAAAACAATTTGATGTCTTACGCTCACAAAAGGCAACCCACACCAACACCTGCATCGATGCCGCCAAGATAAAGTCCGAAGCCTGACATCTGAGACCCCTCACAATCTGACCCAAACTACCTCCGTCCCTCACTCAGTCCAGTCCTTGCTGCCTCCAGCACACAGCAGTGTCTCCAGGGTGAGAGTCTGGTTGGCCTCCCTCCTTCCTCGTGGGCTCCTCCCCTCCGCCGCTACCCCCCCTGCAGCTACAGGGAGCCTCAAACACTCCCCAGCCTCTGCTTCCCCTTCCTTTCCTAATTGTTCCCAAATTGCAGCAGGGTGGGGGGACCCGTCCCCCTCACTAAGTAGCACCCACACCACGAGAGATGCAAGGAGGAGGACGCTGATGGAGTAAGAGCCCCGCTGCAGAGATGGGGCTGTGCAGAGACACGTGCAGAGCAAGCCCCCACCCCCTGGGCCTGGGTCAGTGGGTGCAGGTAGAGTGAAGGGGAGGAATTAAGTAGCTTAGATAAGCTAGACTCCTTTTCCTTGTGAAAAAAGCACGACCCCAATGCCTTCAGCCACCACGACATACTTATTTTCCCTACATAACCCATGCCCTGGAAGCCAAGGGGGCCAGGTCTGTCAGCAGTAGCTCACCCGTGACTCCGGGCTTGGTGACACCGCCTCAAATAATAAATCTTTACTCTCCTTGCTGCAAAAAGAAGGAAACAGGTTCTATGATGGCTGCCCAAACCATCCCGCCTCCCTGAGAGAGGTTAGCACGAGGGCTCCCAGAGAAGAGCAAAAGCAGAGAATGTCCGAGAAATGAGGCCAGAGCCCCCGCCGCGGGACGGCCCTCCCCTGGCCTGCTCAGTCCCTCGGACCTTCTTGGCTGAAACCCCGTACGCAGGGTTTTCTCTTAACAGCCAGCGACTGTTTCCCAGACGACACCGATGGCTTCCTGACGAGCGGGAAAGCACGGTCCTTGCAAGCTGGCCCCCACCACCCCTGCAAACCTGTCCCTTGCCGTTGCCCGGCATGCCCACGACTGTCTGGGTGCCAGGCCCCCTTCCATGCCTGGAACAGACCGCACGGCCCGCCTCCGTGTTTTCACACGTGTTGGCCTCTGTCTCCTGTCCTGCCCTTTCCAATGAGTCTCCTCGCCACCCAGGCTCCAGTTTAACTTCCTCCGCACAGTAGTTCTGTCTGCTGCAAAGCCCTACACCAGCTGGTTTGCTGCTACAGAGAATGAACAGACTGAGAAAATACGTTAAAACGTTTCACAGATAAAAGGTGGAGAATTGAAAAAGTTCAGGGAAGCTCTGATGGGGATTGTAGGTCAACAGTATGTCACAGAAAACTTGGATACCCTTTAAAAACGTGTTTCAGCCCTAGCCGGTGTAGCTCAGTTGGTTGGAGCATCGTCCCATAGACCAAGGGCTTGCGGGATCAATTCCCAGTCAGGGCGCATGTGAGAAGGCAATCAATCGATGTCTCTCGCATGGTCCGGACTTAATAAACACAGGCATTTTGTTAGGAATAGAGGCTTTTGAGTCAAAAGGTCCTGGGTTCGAATCTTCACCCTAACATTGCTTAGCTTTGGGACTTAGCGAAAGTTAACTTTACCTTCTCAGAGAGACAATTTCCTGATATGTAAAATGGGAGTAAGAATAATGGCTACCTCAGTCATTTGTAAAACCCTGCTCAGTGCACAGGAAAGGATTTTTTTAAATTCTCCCCCGATGATATGTTTTCATTGACTTTAGAGAGAGAGAAACATCAATGTGAGAGAAACATCAGTCAGTTGCCTCCCATACGCAGCCTGAGCAGGGACTGAACCCAGAACCTGGGCGTGTGCCCTGACTGGGAATCAACCCCGCAGCCAGCTGTGCCACCAGGCCAGCGCAGGAAAGTTTCAATGAATGCCAACTATTTTGTTCTGACCGGTTTACTCTGGTAACCTGTGGGAGGTATCAGGAATGTCCCCAGGAGGAGCTGAGCTGTCCCCCACATCACCCTGTTATAAGGAGCCTTTGTCTGAGCGTGTCCCTCCCTTTCATCGTGCGATCCTTAGTCCGTTCGTTCTCTAAGTCTTTGCCTCTTCAAAGCCGCCCATGATATCCTTTTATCTTGATGTCTCCTATATAAGAATATTCACAGACGTGGGAGCTCGTCCTACAAATCTAAGAATATGTTTGAAATTTTTCTGAGTAAAAAGCCTTTTAAACAAGTCTGTTCACACGAACTGTTCCCCATACATTCTGTGACTGCGTCGCCGGAAATTTACACCTTTGCAATGAGTTTCAAGCCCCGGCGCTCGAGCTCCTTGCACGTGAACCACAGAGAGAGCTGCTGGTGACCGAGACCTGGGCGGTCTGAGCCTAGTGTGGCCTGAGCTGTCGAGCACAGACAGGGCGGTAGGGTGGGGGACTGTCGTTTCCTGGCCAACACCTGTGACCTCGCTGCTGGGATGGTCCCGTGGCCAGGCCCTGTCATGGGTCCTGGGGCCTAAGGTCCAACTCCACCTCAGGCACCCTGCAGGTAAAAGCAGGTGGTCATAGAAACAAGGTTAAAGGAAAAAAAAAAAAGTTGCTAAATAAATATTCATTATTACTGGCAAAGAAATTCAAAGCATGTGACTGAATGTACACAGCTCAGCGCCAACATCTCTATAAAAAGGTACGAGATTAGCACCTCCACTTGCCGGTGTATTTTGGAAATAATCATAGTACCTATCTCTTGGGGTGGCACAAATAAATGAGATTATATATTTAAAATACATAGCCTAGTACCCACAGTGTAACCCTATCAAAATGTCAACAGCATTATTTCACAGAAATAAAAAAGAAAACATTCTCCTTAAACTCAGATGGCACCTCCAGGAACCCAAATAGCCAAAACAATCTCAGATAAGAAGAAAAAAGTTGGATAATGCACACATTCTGATTGCAAAACATACCCTGAAGCTACAGTAACCAAAACAGTGTGGTACTGGAATACAGACAGACACCTAGACCAATGGAACAGAATAGAAAGCTCAGGAATAACTTAGCTTCCAGAATGTAGGAGATACTTACTAAATGTGTATCATCATCATCATCACCAAGCCTCACCAATATAGCATCACCAATGCTATAACTACCAGCATTCTCCCCGCGTACCTCTGTATACACTCCGTACTGACCTAAGCCATTGCATTAAGGCCTTGTCTTTCCTTCTGTGCAAACTGTGAGCTTGGCCAGTGTTGACGAGGGATGAGGAGAAACGGGGCCTCGTGGAGGAGGTCCCCACCACACACACCATGTGGTTCCATCGCTCAGAGACTGGTCATGACTTCAGAATCCTTCCCAGAGACCAACCACGGGGGCTGCTGGTGGCTGCCTGAGAGGGGCCCAGCCACCGTCTCTGGCCTATGAGAAGGAACAGCCTCAATGACAAGCAATCTCCTGGTCCTGCCAGGTTCAGGGACACTCAGCGATTAAGACATAGGCCTGGGTTACCACCTGTCCTGGGGTTTTTCGGCCAGGGAGGAGGCTTTCCAACTTCTGCCGAGGGCTTGCGGT